TCCAGAATGTGGGATAGTCGGGAACTGCAGGTGGCACACACCTTCCCTGGAAAGCAGCATATTCAGACCTACTGTGATGTGAGCCAGGACGGGCGATACTGCATCAGCAGCAGTAATGGCTTTGCCGGGGAGGGTTGTGAAGCAACGGTGAGTTTGCTAGCTGAACAGCACAGTGCTGCTTGCCCTCTTCCTTTTAAAAACACAGCTGGCACAGCTGGCTGGCAGCAGGGTTCACAGTGTTCACATCAGCATACTAGGAGCTGTACTGCCAGGTAGAACAGCTTTCACATTGCATTACCTTCCACATTGGCGTTACCTGCTAAGACCTGCTGTCCAGGTCTCTCTACTTTTTTACATCTCTTCCTTCTTTTGGAATAAGAAGTACTCTGCCTTTATCTCAGTTTCATCTCAGTTCTAGAACAAATATGAAGTGCTTAGCAGGAAGCACACCAGACAGGTTACTTCCTATCGGACTTTGCAATCTAAAGACCCAGTTCTGCAAAATGTAAACATATGTATAACTCTCTGCACGTGAGTGCTCTCAGGGGCTTTGTCAGAATTCCTCAGGGCAGACATCTGTAAGCAGTGGCAGGACAGACAGCCTTCACAGGGGCCCCAATCAGGAAGAGAGAAGGAAAAACACAAATGAGATATGTGAGCACCTGGCTGTGAGTGCTTGCTGCATCAAATACGGTAGAAGTCCATAACCCCTATCTAAATTGATAATAATTTTGTGAAAAGAAAAGTCATCCCCTTAGACATTGAAGTTCTTCTAAGGAGAAGCTCTAGATTCTAGAGTCTAAAACCAAATATTGATCCCCGCTTAAGGGTGTGGCAAAATCACTATTGCATTCATTTGATCCAGGATCTGGCTGTACAGTCTCATGACTGCTCTGAGTTAATGGAAATTGTGTGGCTAAGTACTTGTACCTTGGGCATGTGGAATTTGCCATTCAGAGTCATCTTGAGCAGGGAATAAGAGAGAAAGCCAGCAACCCACCAAATCAAGGACTGAGAAGTGAGATGCATATATGTGATGCTGTCTGCCAAACATTGAAGAGGGTGGGAAAGCAGAGCAACAAGCTGAAACATCTCTGTGATAATTTCTGACTACAGGAGCAGATTTGGGAAGGCAAGAAGATTATTTAACAATGTAGCAATGTGTTTTTCTTTATAAAGCCCCCTATTTTGTTATTCAATAATTATAATAATAGCTGTGGAGTAGCTGGAGGCTGGAATACTTTGTGTCTCTTCCCCTGCAGCTCTGGGACCTCCGGCAGACTAGAAACCGAGTACGTGAATACAAAGGGCATTTCCAAACCATTGCATCATGCATCTTCCTTCCAAAGGGTCTGGGTCTGACCCCAGTCGTTGCTACTTCCTCACATGACACCATGGTGAAGGTCTGGAACCAGGACACTGGAGGTGACTTGCAGGGAACTACATGTTGCATGAATGTAACCACAGGACCTTCAAACTTCCTTTCTTATTCCTTGATCTCTTAAGGATGGGGATGGGCTATTGAGCCTTGAACTGAAATGCAGCCTGTGTAGGTTGTGACTGGAATAATCTTACCAAATAGTTGGATATCCTGGTGGACCCAGTTTAGTTTCTGTATCACAAATATATAAAGCCCTTTCAAGTTTGTCACATTGCAGCAGACTTCTATCCTGTTTAAAGTGACAGGACATTATTACGGGTGAAGTTTCATAGTTTCATAGTTTCTAGGGTCGGAAGGGACCTGAAAAGATCATCTAGTCCGACCCCCTGCCATGGCAGGAAAGAGTACTGGGGTCAAACGACCCCAGCAAGGTGTTCATCTAACCTCTTCTTAAAAACCCCCAGGGTAGGAGCCTGCACCACCTCCCTTGGAAGTTGGTTCCAGA